GGCCAAAAGAGACCTCCTACTAATCCCCATCTTTAAAGCCAATCAAGTCTGTTTTATTTATAAAGTTTTAACTTAATATTTAATGGGCTATAAAAATTTACAGAGATATCTGACCAATAATTATTTGGGACAGTTAGGCCAAAGGGCCAGAACTCCTTGGCTTAAACAACACTCTGGGAACCCCAGAGCCTTTTATATAAAAGTAGGTAATTGGACAGGGAAAAGAAAAAAAACCTTCTAAAACCCCTCCTCTAGGACCAAAGTTTACTGTTTAGAGCCTAATGAAAACTAAAGTTAAAGGTATAAAAGTTGGTGGCATTTAGATAAAAGTATATAAAATTGGTATAATTAAATTGGCTTTATATAAAGCGGTTACAGCTCTCATTTAATTATACTGTGGGATAGACAACTGAGGAAACCAATAGTTTGTTACTCAGTCCAAGCTCACTGTACTTGCCACAGGACAGGCCAATGAATGCAAGAAACGAGGTGTTGAGGCAAGGAAAAAATTTTATTCGCAAAGTCAGAAGACTTTTAGCTCCTCAAAACAACTCCACATCTTGTGGAGGTCTGGATGCCAGGTTCTTTCATGCAGCCAGAGAGAGAGAAGAAATGAGGAACTAAAGTCAACAGTCAAAACAGAGTCAGTGAGGAAGTGAAAGGGTCTTTAGTCTCCAGGAAGAGCCAGCCTTTGGAAAAGGGTGTGTTAATCTCTCTCTTTTTTTTTTTTGTAGCCATATTCAGGCAGGTAGGGATGAGCTGAACAAAAGCATTTTAGTTTATATTCAAGCAGAGGGGGAATATCCTCTGAGGCAGGCTATTAAGTATGATTAAAGCAATGAAAACCAAGTCAAAGAAACAGTTCCAACATGGAGTCAGAATTGGCTTCGTCCCCGCAACAGTTACCTAAGCCATACAAAATTAGTAAAACTGGATACTAACATGCAAGGGATAATGAAAATAAAAACAGTGATTTTGCTTTTAATTTATAAACTCAGAAAGGTCTTTGCTAAATGTCTTATACAAACCTTTGAGAGCATAATAAGTTAAACTCTAAAGTTAAGAAACTAAGCAACTGTTTTTGTTTCACAAATGTCTAAAAAAACAGAAATGTAAATGTAGGCCATAAAGACCTGAATTAGCTCAAGCCGCCGGCAAGATCTGAAACCAAGGGAAAAAATATGGCAGTTTTAAATCCGAACTGCTGAGATTGTTTCCTCAGCCAAACCTTACAGATAGTAAGCCTTAATTAACTCATCGAGCAACTTTAATGTATTCCAACTGTTTGTAAACCAGTAACTTTATATGGTAATACCTGATTCTTAGACAAGCTTTTAAATGAAGCCATGAGATTGTTAGGGGAAGCACACTGACTGAAACCGCCCACCCTGGCCAGGCACCCTAGTAACCATTTGCATGAGTTGTTTTAAGACAGGAGATCCTGGTAAGGAACACGGAACTAATAAGCCACCACCAACCCAAAGAGTTGGGGAAAGGTCAAAAAGAGACACCACGTGTCTGACCACCTCCCACAACCCTCCTCTCTAGCATCCATCTTGGCTGAGCGATGACAACCCAGAAACTAATCCCATCAACATAAAACCACCTGAAACTTCCAGCCAAGTGGCAGAGCAGTTCTCCTGGGTTCCCCTACCCTACTGCTCTCCACCCGGGTGCCCCTTCCCAGTAAAATCTCTTGCTTTGTCAGCAAACATGTCTCCTCAGACATTTCCAAGTGTTAGACAAGAGCCCACTTTCGAGCCCTGGAAGGGGTCCCCATTCCAGCAAGAAGATCTCGAGTTTGCCTATTTATGTCTGTGTCCACATTATACATATGAAATATCTCTACTTCTAAAAAAATATTATTAGAATTTGATTTAAAAAGAGCTCTATTTAATCTTCATAAAAAGCTCTTACTTTTAAAGAAACTGGCCATGATGACTTTCAGGTTCACATGAACTGAGAAATAGTCAATATTAAGTTGATACCTGATATTAAGGTTTAAGATTGTTAATCTAATTAAAATAAGACACGCTGTTAAGATTATTTTACCTAGGTTTAATAAATAAGACTTTACTAGATCTCTTGCAAGAAAATAACTTGATATAAGGAAACTTCAAAGTGAATGTAAATAAGAATCTTAAGAGTTAAAACTCTTGTCTTTTAGAAGTGACTGCTTAAAATGATCTTTCCAGATATTTGATAACTTAGAAGTTCTGGAGTTATGTTAACTGATGTGATGAAAATTTATTAAATAGCTAAAAGATACTGAGACATCAATTATTAAGTAGAAAAACAAAGTATTTGGGAATATTAATGAAAATGTTTGGTATCACCTGAGATGTTCTCTATAAGAAAACAAATGTTTTTAGAAATTATCACTGGTGTTTATACACCAATCTACAGAATGCTGATGTAAGATAGTTCATAACTGCTTACTTCTTAGCTTTACTAAAATTAAGGTTTTAAGAGCTGAGGATTCTAATTTAAACATGGAATTAAAAAGCTATGAGAAATGATAAAGTAACTTTTCAATATACAGTAAGAAATATAATGTATGTTTTCAGAAAGAAGATATGAAAAATGAAATTACATTTTATTGAGGAAAAAGAAAGTATGAGCCAGTTGATTTTATTTGGATGGAAAATGAGAGACAGGCTGAATACAGAACGTGTTGAAAGATTTTAGAAAGAAAAAGGAAAAAGTTTTATCCATATTCAGGACTATCTAAATTTAGATTCAAGTTGACTAAATGGATTTTGTTAAGTGAGCCAGTGCAGGAGTGGAATTTGATTTCTCGGAGAAATGCTCCTTTTTAATAATAAATTGTGTGAGTTTCTGCAACCTTAAGTGATCCCTATTTGATTTCCTTTAATTGTTTTATGACTTTGGTTGAATAAGTATTCTTTCAGTGACTGTGTTTTATAATTCTAACAAAATTTCCAAATATCAATATCTAACTAAGCTGTTTTAGCTTCTAGCTGACTCAGGGATGGATGCTTCGAAGAAACATCTCCAAAACATCTCAGAGACAAACGTTAAATTAAGTTTATTTGGCATTTTTTAATTCAAAAGCATTGTCAAATGATTGAAGGTGAACTTTAGGTTATAATGTATGGATAAATATCATTAACACAGATATTCTAAAATTTATATGAAATCCTTAACATCTGATATGTCCTGATATAATGCTACCAGTCATAATTTTAGTGATTATACTAAAATATCCAAATTTCCTAATTACACTTACTCAAATCTTTAACTATGCTATTTTAAGTTTTGTCCTTCAGAGACTATCATTATTTTACACTGCCTTTACAAAATGAAGATTTCAAGAAAACTCATAAAAAGAACTTTTAAACAAATAAACAAATGTATTTCTGATAGCCTTACTACTAAATTGGGTAACAAATTACAGACTAATGGAAAACCTGATTACTTCATGCAGATCAACAGGAATCAATTACATGAAATTAAATGAACTGATGAATTATGATTTATATCTTTGACTTTAGAAAACATACTAACTTGAATCTGTTTTCCAGTAAATTTTTTCTCTTATGCTGTGACCTACAACAGGTTGATAAGTGTGCCTTTGTAAACAAAGATAAAACATTTATCTTTTTCTCTCTGCCTGATCCTGCCAAGATCTGGCTTCTCCAGCTGGATCTCCTATGGACTTAATGGTTATTGCAACTGGATTACAACTCATTAAACTAATAGCTTTTGTTGTTTCCAAATTGTTTATGCTTTTGTCTCTCAGTTACAATGACTTTGTCAAGGTTACTAGTCAAATTGCTTATGTCTATTTTATAAGATTGTCCTCTCTTAGTATGTAGCCAGGCCTCCAACAAATGTAATGGTGACTTAAAGCAACTGATCCAAAAAATAGAGGTCTGTATGCCTTCAATAACAGTAACAGTGTATTCTAGGTATGGGAAGATGCAACAAGGGAAATATCTCCTGAATCCTAATAGGTTAGAAGATAGAGGATCCAGAGAATCTTCTATTGTCTATCAATGGGCCTAATCCAGAAATTAACACCTGGAGCGACATATCAACAAGAACTTTCGTTTGATCTCAGACGTCCTTCCAGAGTAGCGGGACAAAAAAAAAAAAAAAAAGTCATGAAAAGTCTCTCACATATGGTTGAATTTCCAACCATAGAGAGGGACTGTGAAAGAAACATTTCCTGCCACATCAGTAAACAAGCACGTCACAGCCGTCAGGGTTTTGGGGCTTCCAAATGTGAATGAGGGCTCCCAAAACAGAAAACACTGTCTGCGATTCAGCAGATGCCACCACCCGCCCACCCTCAGCCTCAGTGCTGAGGAGCTCGGGGGCATGTGAGAAATCAAGAAAACCAGGATGCTGGCCTCAAATAGCTGAGATGCACAGGACAGGAATGATTTCAAAAACCCCACACTCCTGCATCTTCCCATTCACAGTAAATTCCTTAACTTGAGATTATCTGTTTTCTTTAATTAGCAAAAAACTTTGATGTGCAAACTGCCTGGCGCCTTCTGTTACAAACTTAAATATATCCTAACTCCCTCCCCGGCCTTCTCCCGGCAGCTTCTCAGGGCTATATGACACGCAGTCTCCCTGGCTTGAAGTCCTAAGCATTCCCATCAAAAAAAAAACAAAAAACACTCCTTTCAGGTTGTGACTGTTTTTTTAGCGGACTGGCAGGAGAAGCCAGGAGGCGCCTACCATGAGGAAACAGACTAATAGCACAGAGGTTCACAGCCTTCCAGGGCCAGACAGGACTGCGGCCCGACCCCCTGCCCGGTCCCCTCAGGCCGAGCCTCTCACGCCCCTGGCGTCCCCCCGGGTCAGGCCTTGACCCAGGCGACGCGGGAGCGTGACGTCCGCGCGGCGCCGGCGGGTGACGTCAGCCTGGCGAGGGGGCGGCAGTTGGACTCTACCACCGCTGGCGCCCCTGCCCCTCCCCTCCCGGCCTGGTGCTTCCCGGGCTTAGCAGTCTATCACCGACTCACCTTCCCATCGCTGTGGAAAGGGAGGCCGAGCTCCTCGGGGGAGAGCGGGGTGCGAGAACATGGCGACTCTTCGGCCTGCCTCTCGGCGGCGGCCTCGTAGTCCGGGAAAGGGTTGGGGAACGCCCGATCTTCCATATCTGCGTCCCCGCCCAGCTGCAACTTGAGCCTCCGGGACATGGTCTCGCCCATGTCGGCCGCGCGCCCTGCCCTCCGCGGGGCCGCGCGGTACGGCGAGTGAGCTGGGACAAGCCTCCTCAGAGGCGCTCGGCCCGGCCAAGGCGGGCGGCGGTAATCCCTAGGAAAGCGGCGGATGCGCCGCGCCGCGCATACACGTGGCTGTGGCGGGCGCCCGGTCCCGCCCCGACCTGGCTGGGGATGGGCCCCCGGGGAGGCTGCGGCGCCTTGCAGTCACCAAGGCTCCGCGATACGGGGTCCCCTCCGAGGAGGAGGCTTCAGCCGGCCGGCGGCGCCGCGAGGACAGCGTCTCCGGGGAGGGCGCGGTCCCTCCCTGTCATCCTGCCGTTGGGGGGGTCTGGAGGAGGAGCCAACGCCTTTTTTTTTTTTCTCTTCTTTTAGGTTAGCCCCTTTGTTTTGCATAAACGAATATCTTAGGTAATGGCAGGTCACGTGAAAGCATACTTAATCACCTAAATATTTCATTGACCCGAAAGTTCCATCGATATTAGTTAAATTGCCCAGGAACATAACGTGTGTAATAAAGGACACAAGCAAGTAAATCTGCAGTTGTATGATCACAACATAGTTAACAGTCTTTACTGGTTCTCTTTTTTTCTTGTTGTTTCTTTAATTATTTGAAGCTAAATAGATGTTAGAGATGTCATGATTTCTCCTCGAGGGAAATATATTGTTGCATTATTTCGTTTTTAAATTTTTGTTTCCATTTAAACATGATTGAATGCCAGATGGTACTAGTTAGTTAGTTAAGTCGCTAAGTCATGTCCGACTCTTTGCGACCCCGTGGGCTGTAGCCCACCAGGCTCCTCCGTCCATGGGAGTCTCCAGGCAAGAATACTGGAGTGGGTTGGCATTTCCTCCTCCAGGGGATCTTCCCGCCCCAGGGATCGAACCCAGGTCTCCTGCATTGCAGGCAGAAGCTTTAACCTCTGAGCTACCAGGGAAGCCAGATGGTACTAGGTGATGACAAAAGATAGTTTCTGCCCTGGGGATTCCAAGTGAGTGAGAAAAGTAAGCGTAGCTTAGCATGATATGAATACTCTTCTGGAACTAAAGAAGGTATACATTAATATATCAAAAGTGACATGATAGAGGAAAACAATATCTACCACAATAAAGCCTGTATTCTGGCTCTGTGGCCTGGCTTCCCACTCCTGCCTGTCCAGGTGTCTCCCCTGAACTGTACTAGATAAACATGTTGAACAGCCTCCTCCCATAAGATGACCATGGAAAACACCACTGTAGGAGAAAATCATTGTAAAGGTGTTACTCGTCATAAACATATATCCTTAGTGTTCAAGGAAACAGAACTGCTATAACGGGATGCCTTGAAGGCCCATTCCACTTTCCTGCTGTTAGGTAGGTAGAATAGGGAAAAGGAGTCCAGAATGGCGGTGACTAAAAGACCTGGAAGGGAAAAGCCTGCGAAAATAGAACAAAGGAAGGTCCAAGGATTGGAGTGAGAACCTCAGGTAAAACAAACAGCACTCCTGGCTGGCCCAATTTACATAGGACAGGCCCAGGGAGAGAAAAACATATAAAAAGAGGAGCCAAAGCTAGCTCGCTCTCTCTCCCACGCACTAGGGCGCTCTTCTCTTCGAGTCTTTGGGTCAACATGCCCTCATGCCTGGAAGATGGATTTTCCTGCTATTATCTAAATAAAATAGAGCTGTAACACTGAGCTATAACACTGATTTATCTAAGAGCTATAACACCGTCCATTCGAGACCTGAGAGCTATAACACGGCCTGTCTAAGATCTGAGAGCTGTGACACGCCGAGGGGGGCTTTCATGTCCGTCACTCCAAATCTTTGTTGTGACGAGGCAAAAACCGAGGAGCATACACTCGCCTGACACTGCTTCATTTCTTTGTCCCAGTGTCCATCTTTCTCTCATCCTCAGTGAAGGATGCTTTCTAACTGCTCTTGAATTCTGATCCCTTTCTGTTGCTGTTCAGTCACTCAGTCGTGTTTGACTGTTTGAGTGGACTGCAGCACGCCAGGCTTCCCTGTCCTTTACCATCTCCCAGAGCTTGCTCAGACTCATGTTACCTTTACCATATTGAAATTCAGTCCCCTAACTGCTGAGACTCGTCTGTGTTAGGAGCCGTCTCTCTCCCACTTCATGGACTTTACTAGGCAAAATAACCCACAGCAGATATTTCCCAAAGCCTGAGTTATTTAGACTCTGACACCACAGGTATGTGCAGCAGAAACATCCACTGCTGGCTTTGCTGTATTAGGCCTAGTGACCTTTGGCCTTTCTCTACCCCTTGTTGACTGGAAAAAAAAAAAAAGCACAGTCTAAAGGTTGAGAATTACATTTTATTCCATGGCCGTACTGAGGACTATAGCCTGTGATGGCAGCCTCTCAGATAGTTCTGAGGAACTGTTAAAGAGGAAAAGGAGGGGCCAGGATACATAGGAGTTTGATGGAAAAAAAAAAAAAAAACACCCTGTAGTTGAATATTGAAAAGTGACTGCTAATCACACACACACAAAAAAACTCCTGACTTCACAAATTAATGATTTTAGTGCCCTTCTAAGATACAAGAGTCCAAGCTCATTGACATTATTCCTCTGATCTGCATCTTAACCTATCTGGGGTTTCATTATTGTTTTTTTCTTCATCATGAATCCCCTCAGGGTGCACCATTGGGGGCAACCACGGTGGCTGATGTCTCTAGGATGAGAACATCCCTTGTTTGCTGCAATGGCAAGGCAATATTTTGTTCACAACTTGGTGTGAGATAAAGATAGTTTTTCTCCTTCTCCTTAAAATCTTGGTGATAACCATGGACAACTACTGGTAGGTACACAAACTTGTCCTAAGGACAGCCAATATTTTCAAAGATCAAAAAATGTAAATCTAATGTAAGGACTTGGCAAATTTTCCTAAACGCTGTTCAACTTGCAGCTTCCTGTCTTCAGTGGAGATTTCATTTACATTTTTTTCAAGAAGTGACAGTCTCCTTTCTTCACCTCCTATCTCCAAGAGGCTTCTTAATGCAGGAGGCATAGGGATCCCTTCTGACTTTTCAAACCTCAGGACCACCCTTCTCTGCTGGACACTCTTTAGTAGTACAAGGACGTGGCCAGTGCCTTGAAATTACAGACATTTTAATTATTTCTTAGTCCAAACCCAATTCTTAGGGAGGGCATCCTTCCCAACCCTTCTATGTAACTGAGATGGTCAGTACAAGGATTAACTAAATACCCATCCAAAACAAATCCCAGGAGTGGTAAGGGCAGTTGGCAAGTGATGTCTCCTTTCTTTTAAAGGAATCTAACTGGGAGAGGGGCATCTCTGTGTTCACCTGACTGAGAACTAGGGCACCACTTAAGGTTGGAAACCCTGAAAGGGCCCAGGGAGTAAGACTTTCTCCTGTAGGAGCAGGTTTTCCTGAGGGCGTGAGTAGGGATGTGTGGCTGAGAAGCTTCCAGATAGCATGCATGTTGGCAGGGGTCAGGTGAAAGAATTTCTGTTGAGGACACATGAAGGCCTGAGCTTTGCTTTTGATTTATTATTTCTCTTTTGTTATATTGATTCTTCACATGTTTGTCATCTCACAGGCTTCAGATTTGCACACCTCCCTCAGCCACCAGTGAGTCCTCTGGTCGCCTCCATGCTTGCCAGAGCTGCCCAGGCTTCCATTAAAAGGACTTTCCTTTAGGTGGTACAAGAGGAAGTCCCACAAGGCAGACAAGCAAATGCGCTTTGTTTTACACTGCAATCTCCTCAGAGATTTCCTTACGCTTTGTCCATCCATCCTGTCCTGTCCTGTCCTGTCCACGTTGTTAGCTGGGGGAAGAAACAAGCTAGCCCGAAGGTATAGGGAAGGGTTTGTTTTACCCCCTGTCTCTTTTGATACATGAGATTGTTCCTTGTAGTTGCAAGCCATATACAGGCCCTATGTATGCTATGCAACCCTGATTTAAGACAAATTCAATCCCTTAAGCCAGCAGTTCTCGCAGTGTGATCAGACCCTTTAGGGGGGCTGTGAGGCCAAAACTAGCTTTTGCTTTTTTTTTAAAATTAATTTTAATAAAGTTAATATATTGAATTAACCTTAACATTAAAAAAACCCAAGAACTAGATTTGGCCTCACAGCCCCCCTAAAGAGCAATATTTCATAGGAACCTGGAATGTTAGGTCCATGAACCAAGGCAAACCGGAAGTGGTCAAAGAGGAGATGGCAAGAGTGAATGTCAACATTCTAGGAATCAGCGAACTAAAATGGACTGGAATGGGTGAATTTAACGCAGATGAGCATTATATCTACTACTGTGGGCAGGAATCCCTTAGAAGAAATGGAGTAACCATCATGGTCAACAAAAGAGTCTGAAATGCAGTACTTGGATACAATCTCAAAAATGACAGAATGATCTGTTTGTTTCCAAGGCAAACCATTCAATATCACGGTAATCCAAGCCTGTGCCCCAACCAGTAACACTGAAGAAGCTGAAATTGAATGGTTCTATGAAGACTTACAACACCTTTCAGAATTAACACCCAAAAAAGTTATCCTTTTCATTATGGGGGACTGGAATGCAAAAGTAGGAAGTCAAGAAACACCTGGAGTAACAGGCAAATTTGGCCTTGGAATATGGAATGAAGCAGGGCAAAGGCTAACAGAGTTTTGCCAAGAGAATGCACTGGTCATAGCAAACACCCTCTTCCAACAACACAAGAGAAGACTCTACACATGGACGTCACCAGATGGCCAACACCAAAATCAGATTGATTATATTCATTGCAGCCAAAGATGGAGAAACTCTATACAGTCAGCAAAAACAAGACCAGGAGCTGACTGTGGCTCAGATCATGAACTCCTTTTTGTGAAATTCAGACTTAAATGGAAGAAAGTAAGGAAAATCACTAGACCATTCAGGTATGACCTAAATCAAATCCCTTATGACTATACAGTGGAAGTGAGAAATAGATTTAAGGGACTAGATCTGACCAACAGAGTGCCTGATGAACTATGGACAGAG